TACATTGCTTGTGCTTGGTTTCACACAGTTGATTTTAAATAAGATGAAATTTAACATTGTCACTCTGTAATTGTAAGAAAAATAGATAAATGAATGGGTGCTTGAAATTCCATTACTCAAACGGTATATTCACAGTGTAACGTGCTTCATGTAGCAAAGAAAGGTACCTGACAGCAGTGGCCTTCGGGTCTGGTGGTCAAACGAATACCCTAACTTTAAAACAGTCTTTACTTTTAAAAATATGATTCGGGTTCACAAGATAGACATACCTATTTTAACTGAGGAGGGAGCTGAATTCTCATCGGATATGTTTGGCACGTTTGATATTGACTGCGATGGCAAATTGACGAAACATGAGTATTCCAAATTTCTGTTTGTTTATCGCAACACAGATGAGATTCAACCAAATTTTGATGCAATTCATCACAACGTGAATGGTGTCCTTGATTCCGAAGAATTTATACGTGCATACGACCTCTGTTGGAATCGGCAAGAGTTCAGCAACACTAACGTAATAATCGGCAAATGTTACTAATGCAGAAACCAATAGCAAAAAGTTAGTAGGACAATAAGGGAAGCGGAGGAGACATGATTGTGTCAATACTCAGTTGTAAATTGCTTCTAACAGGTAGATCCAACCTGGCCAGTTTCTCAAGACTATTGGTTGACAGACAGAGGCAATTGATTTGCTTGTGAGTTTTAGCTCAGGTAGGTGGCTTCCAGAATGTCATCATTGTCATGGCATTTGTTACTGGTTAGTGCCTACCCCCTGTAATAGGTGTCTTGGTGTGATTATATATTAGCAGTGTACTCTAAAAACTCGTCACAATATTAAAAAAAAAGATAAATCCTTGCACAGCGATCGTGGTTCGGGACGATTCCGTTGTTAGTTGCAAACTACTTCCTCGTTTTCAAAAGGTCCCTTAAAACATCGTTATAATTGCAGCACATTGTATAAAACACACAAATTGATTATACATGTATATGGGCATATCAGATAACATAAATGCAAACATTACATATTCGACGGTTTACGGTCTCGCGGGAATTCTTTTCCCTTGACGCCCATTGTCGCGCTGTCTGTCGATGCGGCATACACAAGGGGGGATCCAGGATTATTTGAAGTGGAGGGATCCGAAACAACTGGCCTCGGATGCGACCATCGCCCCCTTGGTGTGGTTTTTGGGGCCTGCACATGGACTGCAAAAATTATTTAGTGTTTTGGAGAGCAAACGGTGCCCTTTGGTACTATTTAGAACTATGATTTAGCCATTCAAAATTCTAATCTCAGGAGGGGAATATTGGTGTGATATATTTTTCAGAAACCAAACGAAGGAGGGAGGGCATGACCCCCCTCCCGACTCCCCCTCCTAAATCCTCCAATGATATATTCCAAAACAGATTGACTGCAAATTAAGCACGATTTTGCACCTTCAGTTTTCGTAACACATTTTCTTATTAAGTACTTATTATTTCTACAAGTATTCTCTGCCCAAAATGCATCAAACTGTTATCTTAAGCCACGGTCACAACCGGTGTGAACGGAATGGTAGTCCTAGTAACGCAAGTCCGACCGGACACTAAGTCCTGGGAACGTAAGTCCTGTGTCAGCGTTGCTATGAATTGAGGTCCTAGGACATACGTTACTAGGATTTAACGTCCGTAGGACAACAGTTACCAAGGAATGCATGTCCCACCGCCAGGAATCTAAGTCCGGATGGGACCTGTTATCCTAATTTGCACTAGGAATATATGTCCGCTCCCATTTTTCTCTCGCACTTAAAGTGATAGATAGATAGATAGATAACTAATATAATATTACCATTAGTTTTAAAATATTTCACCTAAACAAATACAATGGAATAGAAAAGGTATATGAAGAATAACACTTGTTACATTTTAATATATTTATTTCAGTTCTTTTATTTATTCATCTGCAACATAAACTTTCAAATTTGCCCTGTTTACTGTTTGTTGCATTGGCCCAATAAGATCAATCCCAATCTACCAAAAATTAATAAAAAGTATTTTATTTCTGACTTTACATTAAATTCGTAGATGTTTAACTACATAAATAACTGAAAAATAAATTTCCACAAGTCTTAATGTTTTCTGTTAAAACAATATGACGATAACAACGAAAGACGATTTTCAATATCTATTTTTCCAATTGAACACCACGATTAAGAGAAAAATTGTCTTGATAACCATCCTCCACGCCTCAGGCTTGTTCACGGGAAAAAGGTTAAGCGGTGGAGAGTCGTTGTTGCTCTTTTTGTTGACACGCTGACATTTGTCACATTTTAAAATGAATTTTCTGATGTCGTCTACCATGTTTGGTCAATAATATCTCTGTTCAACCTTGGCCAGTGTCTTATCTCGTCCTAGATGACCACCTTAAATTTAAAAACAAGGAAATAAATACATCGCATTTTATAGACACTTCTCGTTTTTCAATGTCTGGAATTATGTCACACAATTTAATATAGCAACGTATACGAGGTATTGTGAATACGGAATTATTTTAATACATACTTACCAAGCGGTGATGTATGCAGTGTATCCAATTTCTTTTCACTTCTCCCCTGTTCCTTACAACATTTCGCCATACTCCACCAACATCATTATCATCATTATCATTCTGCCCTACACCTGCTACGCCCCTCACTTTCCTCTTGCTAACTCTGTAATAGAGCTTGCCATGTTCAATCTGAAATAAGCATTACAATATGCATATATGTGTACTCATGATGTTAAAGGAATTATTGACCTAAACTACTGTTATTTTGTTAGAGTTTAAAACTGAGAAAAGGAATCGTAAGCAGCTGTCCCCGGACCTAAAATCCTAAAAATGGACGTCCCCTGGACCTAAAATCCCAGATATGGTAGTCCCCCGGGCATAAATACCCATGAAATAGGAATTCCCCTGCAAGACATTTATTCAAGGTACATAGGTCCATGGACACACATCCCCGGAATTGTATATCTGCGTATAACGTAGTGTGACCTCTCTAATAATATTGCATATTTAACATCATGAAAATTGAAAGTTTACTTTATAATTGCTTGTTCTCCGAATAACTCTTTTCTGTGTTGGTGTTGTCTCGATAGGATACGTGCCCTCCTGAAGATATTGGAAAATAACTTCAACTTCGGGCCTGGTCCGGATGCTGCTTGTCCCTTCCATATCAAACGTCTAGTGAGGGTGTGGTATTCATATATGAGCGGTATTTATAGTAGAACAAGGTAGCGTGTGACATCTGGTTATGTCTGTAACCAATCCAAAAATTTGCTACGTGGCATATATGACGACCAGGATAAAACAAAAGAAAAAAATTCACACGAAAAAAAAAAAAAATATATATTTGTGTAAACGAAATTCGAACCACCATCCACTAACACAATTACTCTGTATAGCATCCATTATACTGCACAGCCTTACCACTACACTGGGGAGACGAACTGGCAAACCGTCGATTTTACGGAGTACTTATATGTGCTCACTAAAGCATAATATTACTGCCAATACTCATTATCCACTAGTTGCTATTTTAAATGGTCGGACATAGTTATAGGGCGGACCTCCATTCCGTTGACTAATGTAAACGTAATGCAGGTCCGCCAGGAATAGAAGTCCTACCCTTTATTATCTACCCTTTATTATATCAGGAATGCAGGTCCCATCAGGACTACTATTCCTCAGGACCATAGGTCCGTAGGACCACCGTTCCTAGGAAACGAGGTCCGTAGGACCTCGGTTCCGGGCGGACCTGCATTCCGTTTACACCGGACGCACCCATTTTAGGATTGTTCGTCCCCTGCGAATTTTGCGTGCAAGGTCCAAATGAGATGTCCTTTCAAGCAGGAAATTGTACTCATTTCTCGAGTTTGTCTTGCTAACTGCACATGTCCAACATCCTCCGTATGTGCATACGGACTGTCTTCGAGCCCTCTGTCTCTGTCTGAGCCCATGTGCACGCCTCTTCTCACGTTCACCTCCAGGTAAAAGTGACTACTCATCTTCACGTCTTAGACCGCTATGCACAATCCTGTCTCCGCCGGTTCCCTTTTTTACATTTTTACTTTTAGATTTAACTTTAAGTCGTCCGAAAGTGTACTGTTCTTTGTAATGTTGAAATCGCGCATTAATTACAGTGTACGAGAGCTTAACCAATTAAATCATGTTATACAGAGATGTTTCCTTAGGAATGCGCATTTACGTTTTCACATAGAAATCACTGTATTTTTCTTCAATATCCAATAAGACTCTGAACTGTGTCAGATAAGTAAATATAGAAGTCTTTTTTTTTGCAGCTTGATGCACTTCCCCTAGTTACTCTGGCATACTAAGATCATTCCTTACAAAGACATATTTCACATTAAAATCACCCTGTGCTTTTTTTCTATTTTTTAATTTGCCTCAAACAGATAGCCTTAGTAAAGATAAAGAGGCATTCACTACCACAAAGAAAGCAGAAGTCAAATTGCATGATTGATTGATTTCACAGTTTATCTTAAATGCAGTGGAAAACTAACATTGAAACTCTGTATTTATATAAAAAAAGATAAATGTATAGACTCTTGAAATTCCATTACTCAAACAGTATAGGAACGATGTATCATACTTCATGTAGCAAGGAAATATACCTGACAGCAGTATGAGGCGTTTTAGGTAGCCCGTATTAACATGTAGTTTGGTGCTTACATCTGATTACACAAGTTAAGCTTTGGAAGCTGCTGGCGAAATGGAATTCATAACATAAAGAGTAGGGGCGAGCGTACGTGACAAAGCAACTTTACCTGGAATACATTTCATATTAATTGTATATAAATAAATAACCCTCCTTCAAACACCACGCATCAGTCAAGGCACAAACATCTCACAGAATTGTAGGACAGAAAACTGGTAAGACATATACTGTTCAATAACATTACTTTTCTCTTCGCTTAGCACTCAGCATATAGAGCATAAAGCTCTGTCATATTAGTAGTCCTTGTAAATGAGAAGTCCGAATGCCACATGTGGAGCAGCTTGGTTTGTGTTTTCCCCACTCAGGTAAGAACGATTCAGGACTATACAGATCAAAAAAGACCAGGCATAAATGTTTAATACAAGTTAGGATTTCTCCGCTTTAAATTTTACTACTCAAGTGATATGAGTTAAAACAAATGTATACTTGTCCTTAACATTATTATCATCATTACTTAATAGATATGGTAGATATAATATGTATTTAGTTTTAAATTGTAAAAAAGGAAACTTGCTTATATCTTTAAAAAGGACTTAATCAGTATATAATTTAGATTGGCTGTTAACTTGTTAGTTCTGTTGATTTCCTTGTTTTAGAAATCTTGGGAATTTAGACTTTAAAATAATGTCATCCATTAAGCTGATAAGCCTGCTCCTACTGGTTGCTGTACATGGTGTCGATTCTGCAAATATTGTGAAGGTAGGTCCAGAAAATTGTTTGTTTTTATCGTTCGTTTATTGGAACAAGCTAAGACAGTATTAATACATGAGCAGTCTGGTTCTTAAAGTGCAGGTAGTTGTGATGAAATTTTCTGCTGGTCTGTAACCTTTCAGTGTGTTTCACTTCATTGAATAAGAGAACGTTTTCTTTCTTGGATGATGTCTTTTATGTTAAAACGTGTTTACAAACAAAATAAGAAACCAATTTTTCATAAAACCAATATTATTCGACATAATCAACGTCATTTCTTAGAAAAAAATATGCCTGTCCTAAGCAATAGCCCATATGTCCGTTTTAAACCCAATTTAAAATATTTTTCAAATATTTAAACAAACATAATACATGCAAGACGATGTCATATCTAAAAAATACACCTGCAAAAAATATTATATATAAATGATATATAGGGCCCACTTGAAAAGCAATTTTCATCTTTTCAAAGAATGTTTCGATGTTCAGAGAGGTCAGCCCCTAATGTGAAAGATGGACAAGGCTAGGTTGTAAAATCTCATTATTTTCATATCTTAGAATACCAACGGAAAGTTTAATTCCTACCGTAAAAGCAAGTACAAAGCATTCTTTGATATCATCGACGTTGATGAAGATGGTGTTGTTACTGAAGAGGAATATGTGGGTTTAACAACAGAACGAGCTCAAAAAGTTCTGCCCTCTTGGAGAGCTATGGCAGTGAATGGTATATTTTCCAATGCCTTTCGGGTTTTGTGGTCAAACGGGTACTCCAACAATAAAACATTCTTTACTTTTAAAGAAATGATTCGGGTTCACGAGATAGACATGCCTATTTCAACAGAGGAGGTCGCTGGAATCTCTTGGGATGTGTTTGACACGTTTGACATTGACTGCGATGGCAAGTTGACAGTAGATGAGTATTCCAAATTCCTGTTTGTTTATCGTAACACAGCCGAAATTCAACCAATTTTTGATGCAATTGATCAGAACGCAAATGGCGTCCTTGATGCAGAAGAATTTGTAAGTGCATTCGACCTCTATTAGTATCGACAAGAGTTCAGCACCACTGATGTAATTATCGGCAAGCGGTACTGATGCAGTCGGCAACGGCCAAGAAATAGGTTGACCAGATTCTATCTCAAGTCTTCTAGAAGTATACTGTCCCTTTGAAATGTTTTAGATACGTATTGATTACAACAATATTTAATTATGTTATACAAGGAAATTTCCTTATAAAGACGAATTTGTGTTTTCACGTAGAAATCACATTGTATTGTTTCGTCAATTTTCAATGTAAGTCTGAACATGTGAATGAAGTAAATTCAAAAATGATTTCTTCTTTTATCTTTGCTGGGTATATGGTATTTGGAATAAAACATCAAAGCCTATTCTTTGATTCTTGCATCTTTATACATTTCTAACCATTTAGGTGGATATTTCGAGGAAATATTTAATAATATTTTTGATAATTTCGATCAGAACTTATATAATTACCTTGATGCTAATGAAACTACATGTAACCTGTATTGGTATATCCAACAGTATGGCAATTGGTTTTATTTTAGACAACCGTTACTCATGAAGTTGGTGATGACTAAGAGGTATATTGTCCATTAAGTTTTAGCTTTCAGATTGCATGTTACTGATTGCCGATGTTGCTTTTTTGCAACGTTTTCGGTGCTTGCATGAGCATCCCATTGGTTAGGGCAATATTTTACTCTGGCATACTAAGATGATTCCTTTCAAAAACGGATTTCTCATTAAAATCACCCCATGTTTGTTTTCTTTATTCTTCAATTTGCCTCGAAACAGCGCCACAGTAAAGATACAGAAGTATTCACTACCATAAAGAAAACAGAAGTCAAAATTGTATTTGATTGAATAGTTTCATACAGCTGATCTTACAACATTGGTCATAAAGGCTGTCCCACCCCCATTTCCATGTAGGCCTACTTTTATTTACAAATGATCACCTTACAGGTGTATATTGTTTTAAACGGTGCTTTTTATTCTAGACACCATGTCTAACATGATTAATGGTTCAAAAACACAAAATAGTGGTGTGAATATGCACATCATAACAGCAAACTTGCTCACACTTCTCGCCTGGCAAGTGATTTGTTGTAGAAACACAATGTTCTAAGGATGCAACCACCATCTTTGAACCCTGATATTAACCTTACTTATCACATATGACATGAATTGGAGTGTGCAATGCAGAGGGGAACCAACCCAATAAAAACGTGGACCAACTCCCCCAAGCTGTTTAGGAAGAATGGGATAATATCCCACGAAACAGAATTTTTACCCTTGTTGAAGGCTTGGCACTCCGTCTACAGGAGATAATTGCAGTACGCGGTAGACGCACACGCTATTAGACACGTGACCTTTAACGAGCACATCCTAATGCTAATTGTGTGTAAATTTGTTGACGTTTGATGGCGTCTTTTTAATTGAATAGACATTTCTTTACATCTGTAGAAATCACAATGAAACATTGGATTTGAGGAGGTACCTGTTATAAATTAGACTAAATGGTGAAAAATGTGTATATTTTCACCACTATTTTGTATTTATTGAACTATTAATCATGTTAGACATTTTATCTGGAATAAAAAGCACTAGTTATAACAATTTACACTTATGAGCTGATCATTTGTAATTAAAAGTACATGGAAATGGAAGTGGGACAACCTTTTTGACCAATGCTGTATATGCGATGGAAAATTAACAAAGTTACTAGGAATTTGTAAGAAAAATAAGTAAATGTATCGGGCAGTTTTTTTAATAACTTGTTTCTTAAGCTCCGCCGACCTCAAAATGGCCAAATAGAAAAAAAAAAAAAAAAAACTGTTAAATCGGAACACAATAAACACAAAAACTCATAAGTTTTATGGTACTCCCACATCACATAACTGCCTACCAGTTCAAAACGAAGGTTATTTAAGCCAAAGTAAATGACTAGTTCTTTTCCCCCAGCTTCCGTTTTTTAAGCCAATCAGTGATTCGCTGATATTTTACACTACATGTGTCAAAATAATGCAACATGATCGCGGGAGTAGCATACTCGAGTGGCTGTCTCTACTTAAGCAAGAAATTGACCACTGTCGTTTGGCTCAGTTTAATAGTGAAGGAGGGACCAAAAAATATTATGCACAAAGGCGATTTTATTTACTGCTTTCTGTCAGAAATGAAAATATCAACTGTCGACTTCTGTGTCACTCGGAGGGTTTTAACAGGGAGCCGGCAGCCTCGTCAGCACAAATAGGTACTGGACGGAATGTAATCATGCCGGTCTCTACGACGGCAGATTTTATCTTTATAGTACATTCAGATAACAGTTGCAAAGGAAACACCAAAAGAGGCAGGCTCTGCTAAAGTCTCCAAGAGCATCCCAAAGACAGCGCACTCGTTTGCTTCTGAAAGTCTCAAGAAAAAATGTGAGTACATTTTCCTGTTTTATTAGAGTGTCATCGTATATTAAATTGAATATATTTTAATTATTGACATAAAAAAACGTATGTTAAATGGTCATTGCTCGCTCACAAGAGCAGAGGTTTCTATACTAAAGCCATGCGTCTCTGACATTTTTTATTAATTTTAGCCTAGTAATAGTTGTAACTGTCATTTGTTTTGGGTAATATGCCTGTCACCATAAATTAATAATTTGATTTCCACTGAGTAAAAAAGAGAAAAGAAAAGTAAAAAAAGAGTGCTGCTGCCATATTGACCATTTAAGGTAACCCATTGTACTGATGATTCTCAAACTCACTGAAAGATTCATAGGTCTGAAATATAGCCTATTGGATTCAATTTCTGGCAGAAATACTGTTTTTGTGAAATGTTCATTTTTCTTACGTTGGCATTTTCAGTGCGGGACTGTAGATGATTAAAATTTGGTGATGATTCTCAAGTTATTCATCACATGATATTGCATCAAGATTGACAAAGAACTATTTTGTACACTACCACCACGAATGCATGGAAAGGCAAACCTTTTTTTATTATTTTGTAATGTACCAGAATGATTCTTAGAACTGACATTCATTTAGACAAATAAAACATTAAAATGAATTGCTGTTTTTATCCTTTCAAAATTGCTTATTTTGTTAAAACAAGTTTTTACCATTATCTAAAGTAGGTTTGAAGATTAATGACCAAAAGGTCATTATTTTGACCCTCCGATCTCTGACAAAGATAAAAATTGTTTGAGAAAGAAGCAATTAAAAAAACCTGTCTAGCTGCTTGAAATTCTATTACTCAGATGGTATAATGGTCATGTAGCAAGAATATATGCTTGACAGCAGTATGAAGCTCTTTTTAGGTAGCCCGTATTAACTTGTAGTTTGGCGCTAAAATTTGATTACACAATTTTAAGCTTTGAAATCCGCGGGCGAAATGGGATTGATAACATGAGGAATAGGGGCACGAGTACGTGACAAAGCAACTTTATCTGGAATACATTTCAATATAATGGTATTTAAATAAACTGCCCTCCTTCAAACACCAACCATCAGTCAAGGTGCAGATCTCTTATGGAATTGTAGGACAGAAAACTGGTAAGATATGTATACAGTTCAATAATATTGTATATATAGATTAGTCTTTTCGCTTAGCACTCACCACATAGAGGATGAAGCTGAAGTTAATTTGGTCATATGGCAGTGCTGGTTATTGTATATGATAAATCCAACCGCCGTATGTGCATCATCTTAGTTTTTATTTTCCCCACTGAGCTAAGAACAATTCAGAAATGAACTGATCCCTAAAGATCAGGCAAAGGAATTCTTAGCTTTTATTTATACAATTCGAGTATTATGAGTGTCATGCATTATAATAAGCATATTATTATTCAATTATTATTATTATTATTATTATTTATAAACGTGTTTAATAGACGTGGTAGATATGTTGTATAAACGGAACTCTGATTATTTGTTTAAATAAGTGACTTAATTAATTCATATTTCAGACTAGTTGTTTACTTTTTAGTTCTGTTGATTCCCTTTTAGAAACCTTGAAAATTTAGACTTTGAAATGATGTCATCCATTATGCTGATAAGTCTGCTCCTACTTGTTGCTATTCAAGCTGTCGATTCTTCAAGTATTGTGAAGGTAGGTCCGGAAAAGCATTTGTTATTATCGTTCGTTTATTGAAACAAGCTTATACACTGTTAATAGCAAGGCAACACATTTCGTAAAATGCAGGGAGTTGTGTCGGAAGTTTCTGCCAGTCTGTAATCTTTTAGTGTGTTTTATTGAACAACATAAAGCATTTTCTTGGATGGTGACTTAGCGTGTGTATAAACAAAATAAAATATAAAAGAAAAAACAACAACAAATTTTCATAAAACCAATAATTATATCGGCAAAATCAAATTTTTTAACGAAAAAAATAATATACCTGATCAAAACAATTACAGCATCTCATGGCCGTTTTAAACCGAATCTAAATAATTTCCAAATATTTAAACAGGACACATGCAAGGAAATGTCATATCTTAAACAAATAATACACCCTAAAGATATGATATATAAATAATAGCTAGGTCCCATTTGGAAACCAGTTTTTGTCCTTTTAAAAGAACGTTTCAGCATTCAGAGAGATCGACTCCTAATGTGAAAGACGGGTAATGGTGGGTAATAAAATATCATTTCTTCATTTTAGAATAACAAGGGAAAGTTTACTTCCTACCGGATTACCAAGTTCAAGGTATTATTTGATATCATCGACGTTGATGAAGATGGCGTTGTTACTGAAAAGGAATTCGTTGGTTTAACAACAAAACGAGCTCAAAAAGTTCTGCCGTCTTGGAGAGCCATGGCTTGGAATGGTATGTTTTCCAACGCCTTTCGGGTCTGGTGGTCAAACGAATACTCTAACAATAAAACATCTTTCACTTTTAAAGAAATGATTCGGGTTCACGAAATAGACATTCCTATTACAACGGAGGAGGTCGCCAAAATCTCATGGGATATATTTGGCACGTTTGACATTGACTGCGATGGCAAGTTGACAGTAGATGAGTATTCCAAATTCCTGTTTGTTCACCGCAACACAGCCGAAATTCAACCAATTTTTGATGCAATTGATCAGAACGCAAATGGCGTCCTTGATGCAGAAGAATTTGTAAGTGCATTCGACCTGTATTGGTATCGACAAGAGTTCAGCACCACTGATGTTATTATGGGCAAACGGTACTGAAATAGGTACTGAAATGGCCAAGAAATAGGTCGACCATTTCCTTTAATCTTTAAGAATCTAGCCTACGCCTTCTAAAAGTATACTACCCCTTTCAAATATTTAAGATGTGCATTGATTACAACAAGATTAAGTTATATTATACAAGGATGTTTCCTTAAGAAGAAAAATTTACGTTTTCACGTAAAAATTACGTATTTTTTGTCAGTGTTCAATATATGTCTGAACGGTATGCGTGAAGTAATCAAAAAATGATTTTTCTTTGCTCTTTGATGGGTATATGATATTTGGAATAAACCATGGAAGCCTCCTCTTTGATTTGTGTATTTTTCTACGTTTCTAATCATTAAGACTGAAATTTTGAGGACATATTTGATATTATTTTTGATGCTATCGATCAGAACGAATATGACTAACTTGATTCTAACGAATTTACTTTTGCATGCGAGCTGTATTGGTATCTACAGCAGTTTGGCATCTGATATTATTTTAGACAACGGTTACTGATGTGATTGGTTATGACAAGAAAGTAATCTGTCCATGAGGTTTTAGCTTTAGGATTGCACGTTCTGATTGCTGCTTTGCCCTTGCTTTTTCACAGCTATAGGGTCCACCTTCCTCGTGTTGTGCTTGAAGATCACACTGGTTAGGACAACATTTTTCTTCTAGCATACTAATATGATTTCTTAGATAAACGGATTTAACATTAAAACCACGTGCAGTCCGTGTTTGTTTTCTTTATTTTTCAATTTTACCCGAAATACTGTAAAAATACAGATGTACTCACTACCACTTAGAAAGCAGAAGTTTACATTGCTTGTGATTGGTTTCACACAGTTGGTTTTAAATGAGATGAAATTTAACATTTTCACTCTGTATTTGTAAGAAAAATAGATAAATGAATGGGTGCTTGAAATTCCATTACTCAAACGGTATATTCACAGTGTAACATGCTTCATGTAGCAAATAAAGAAACCTGACAGCAGTGGCTTTTGGTTCTGGTGGTCAAACGAATACCCTAACTATAAAACAGTCTTTACTTTTAAAAATATTTTTCGCGTTCACATTCCTATTTCAACGGAGGAGGGAGCTGAATTCTAATCGATATGTTTTGCACGTTTGATATTGATGCGATGGAGAATTGACGATACATGAGTATTCCAAATTTCTGTTTGTTTATCGCAACACAGATGAGATTCAACCAAATTTTGATGCAATTCATGAGAATGCGAATGGTGTCCTTGATTCCGAAGAATTTATACGTGCATACGACCTCTGTTGGTATCGGCAAGAGTTCAGCAACACAAACGTTATAATCGGCAAACGTTACTAATGCTGAAGCCATTGTCAAAGAGATAGTTGGACAATAAGAGAGCCGGAGGAGACATGATTGTGCTAATATTCAGTTGTAAATCGCTTCAAACAGGTAGATAAGATCCAACCTGACCAGTTTCTCAAGACTATTGATTGACAGACAGAGGCAATTGATTGCCAGTCTCCTTTGCTAGTGATTTTTAGCTCAGATAGGAGGCTTTCGGAATGAAAGTGCCTACACCGTGTAATAGGTGTCATATTTGGAGTGTACCCTCTAAAAACTCGTCACAATATTAAAAAAAAAGATGTCGTGGAGGTCGAAGAGGTAGACGAAAGTCTTCCTTTCGAGTTGCAAGGTCAAAATGAGATGTCCTTTCAAGCAGGAAATTGTACTCATTTCTCGAGTTTGTCTTGCTAACTGCACATGTCCAACATCCTCCGTGTGTGCATACGGGCTGTATTCGAGCCCTCTGTCTCTGTCTGAGCCCATGTGCACGCCTCTTCTCACGTTCACCTCCAGGTAAAAGTGACTACTCATCTTCACGTCTTAGACCGCTATGCACAATCCTGTCTCCGCCGGTTCCCTTTTTACATTTTTATACAGGGATGTATCCTTAGGTAGACAAATTAACGTTTTCACAGAGATATCACTCTGTACTTTTTCTTCAATTTTCAATGTTACTCTGAACTGTTTCAGTGAAGTTAATTTAAAAGGCATCACTAAAATTATTATTGCCTTTTTTGCTGGGTATACATTTGGAATAAAACGTCAAAGCCTCCTCTTTGATTCTTGTCTCTTTCAACATTACTGACCATTTAAACGGATGTTTTGAGGAAATATTCTACAATATTTTGATGCTAATAGTCACAGTAAATATAATTGCATCGATGCCAATGAATTGACGTGCATGTGAGCTGTTTTGGTATATACAACGTAACTTTTTATTATTTAAAATCACCGTTACTAATAAAGTTGGTAATAGGAAAGAGGTAATCTGCCCATTAAGTTTTAGATTTTAAATTACATGTTACTGATTGTCGATGTTGCTTTTTGGCAGTTTTTTTTGTGCCTCAGCATCCCATTGGTTAGGATAACATTTTACTGTGGCATACTAAGATGATTCCTTACAAAATTCCTTACAAAACTGTTGCTTTGTATTTGTAAGAAAAAAAGTAAATGGACAGCCGCTTGAAAATTCAATTACTCAAACGGAACAGTGTAACATCATGTAAGAATGATGTGTGTGTGTGTGTGTGTGTGTTTGTGGGGGGGGGGGGGGGGGCAAGTGTATTCCCTGAATAGAGGCTATTAAGTTAAACTGCATAGCCTCATTCACTGATGAAGATGTCCTGCTAGACAGCGAAATAATGAAGGTAAAAACTTAATCTTAATATTAGCTGCTGACTGAAGAAAAAATAACATCATTCTTATAACCTAACACATCTAAAGAAATTCTTCTCTGACATACTTAATGTAGCAAGGAAATATGCTTGACAGCAGTATGACGCTCCTTTTTAGGTAGCCCGTATTAACATGTAGTTTGTTACTTACATTTGATTACACAAAGTTAAACACAGTAGCTGCTGGCAAAATGGAGGAATAGGGGGGACGCGTACATGACAACGCAACTCTATCTGGAATACATTTCATTGTAACTGTATTATAAATAAACCGCCCTCCTACAAACACCAAACATCAGTCAAGGTGCAGATCTCTTATGGAATTGTAGGACAGGAAACTGTTACGGTATGTTTAATGCTCAATTACATTTGGGTTGATATCATATCAGGTACTATCATGAAAATGGCACCCTTTGCCTCTTCACTTAGTACTCAGCATATACACGATGAAACTGAACATAAGGATTGTCATGTAGTAGTGCTGGTTATTGTAAATGATACATGTAAGTCCGAGCGCTGATGTGCAGCATTGTATTTTTTCCACGGAGTGGTAAAGACCAGGCATAAATGGTTATGCAAACTAGAAATTCTCCGGTTTTAACACAACTAAAGTGATATGAATTACGATCCTAGTATTTAATTTGTGTATATTTTTCTCTGTGTAACGTTTGAAGATTAGACGCTGATTATAACGACAGAAAATACAATAAGGGGAGTGTGATAATGATAGGGTCGCTAAACGATTGTTGACGGAATATTGTGACTGACCTAATCCCCTGGTCGTCTGGGTAGGCACGTCCCCTTAGAGCACATATGTAAACAAACGATCTTCTTCTTCTTATTATTATTATTGCCTTTTAGTGTGTTTCATAGATGTGGTAGAAATAAAGTTGGGAATTGTAAAAAAAGGAAACTCTGAGTATTTCTTAAAAAAAGGGAATTAATTAGTTGTTTACTTTTTAAATCTGTTGATTGTCTTGTTTCAGAAACCTTGACCATTTAGAGTTTGAAATAATGTTATCCATTGAGCTGATAAGTCTCCTCCTACTGGTTGCTGTTCAAGCCGTCGATTCTTCAAATATTGTGAAGGTATGTCGAGAAAAGCATTTGCTGCTATCGTTCGTTTACTGAAACAAACTAAGACAGTATTGATAGAAAGGCAGCATGGTTTTTAAAGTGCATTGTGGTGGAATTTTGTGCTAGTCTGAATCCATTGAATTGTGTTCCACTCCAATGGATAAGAGAAAGTTTTATTTTTGTTTTGTTTTTCTTGGATGGTGCCTTAACATCTGATATACAAAAAAGAAGCTAAATGTTCCTAAAACCAATATTTATTCGGAATAATCATTGTCATTTCTAAGGAAAATAATACACCTGTTCAAAACAATTACAGCGTCTCATATGTATTAAACCCAACCAAAAATATTTTTCAAATATTTAAGCAAATAAAATACATTTAAGAAATTGTCATATAACAAATAAAACACCCGCAAATTATGATATATAAACGATATGTAGGATCCATTTGAAAGCCAATGTTTATCCTTTCAGTGCTCAGAAAGATCAGTTCATAATTTGTAAGATAGGCAAGGGTGGGTCATAAAAATATCGTTTATTCATATTTCAGAATTCCAAGGGGAAAATTACTTCCTACCAGATAACCAAGTTCAAAGCGGCCTTTGATATCTTTGACGTTGATGAAGATGGCGTTGTTACTGAAGAGGAATTCGTTGGTTTAACAACAGAACGAGCTCAAAAAGTTCTGCCCTCTTGGAGATCTTTGGCGGTGAATGGTATATTTTTCATTGGCTTTCGGGTCTGGTGGTCAAACAAATACTCCAACTATAAAACATCCTTCACTTTTAAAGAAATGATTCAGGTTCACGAGACAGACATGCCTATTACAACGAAGGAAGGCATCGAAATCTCATCTGATTTGTTTGAAACGTTTGACATTGACTGCGATGGCAACTTGACAGTATATGAGTATTCCAAGTTCCTTTCTGTTTATCGCAACACTGCTGAGATTCAACCAATTTTTGATGCAATTGATCAGAACGCAAATGGCTTTCTTGATTACGATGAATTTGTAAGTGCATACGACCTCTATTGGTATCGTGGAGAGTTCAGCACCACAGATGTAATTATCGGCAAGCGGTACTGATGCAGTCGGTAACGGCCAAGAAATAGGTCAACCATTTCCTTTAAGCTTTAAGATTATAGCTGAAGTCTTTTAGAAATGTACTGTCCTTTTGAAAGTTAAAGATGTACATTGATTTCAACAACATTTAATGATGTTATACAGGATGTCTCCTAAGGAAGACGAATTTGCGTTTTCACATAGAGATCACGTTTAATATTTTGGTCAATTTTCAATATAGGTCTGAATGGTGCAAGTGAAGTAAATTTGAAAATGATTTTTCTTTTCTCTGTGCTGGGTATATGATATTTGGAATAAAACACCAAAGCCTCCTCTTTGATTCTTGTATCTTTCTACATTTCTAACCATATAGACGGATATTTTGATTTTAAAAAATATATTGATGCTATCAATAAGAACGAAAATGACTACATTGATGCCAATGAATTTACATGTGCATGCTAGCTGTATTGCTACCTACAGCAGTTGGGCATCTGATTTTATTTTAGACAACGGTTACTGATGCAGTTGGTAATGACAAAGAGTTAATATTGTGCATTAAGTTTTAGCTTTAAGATTGCACGTTCTGATTGCTGCTTTGCTGGTCCTTTTTCGCAGCTAGGTCCACTTTCCTCGTGCGGTGCTTGAGCATCACATTGGTAACCCAGCAAACACGTCAAGTTCGGATCACGTGGCTAGCCCGTTGCTACCACATTATAACGTCATAGCGACGGATTAACCCCGTGGTACCAACGTGACGTGTTTGCTGGGAAGGCGATCATTTTACTCTGACATACTAAGATGATTCCTTACATAAACGGATTTCACATTAAACCACTCCGTGTTTTATAGAACAGTTTCATTCGCTATGTTATTGTAATAGACTTGTGAAGATTCTTTTGTCTATAGCTACTTACATTTGTCCGATCTTACCATCCCCGATGAAGTGTGACTGTAAAAGCAGATGAAATATTGGATGGTAAGATCAGACAAATATAAGTAGCTATAGACAAAATGATCTTCACAATTGCACTCCGTGTTTGTTTTCTTTATTTTTCAATTTTACCCGAAACACTGCCATTGCAAGATACAGACGTACTCACTGCCACCTGAAAGCAAAAGTTAAAATTGCTTGCGATTGATATCACACAGTTGGTCTAAGATGGGGTGAAATATTAACATTGTAACTGCATTTGAAAGAAAAACAGATAAATGTATAGCTGCTTGAAATTCTGTTACGCAAATGGTATAAGAACGGTGTAACATACTTCATGTAGCAAGGGAATATGCCTGACAGCCGTGTAACACTCTTTTTAAGTAGCCCGTATGAACACGTAGTTTGGTGCTTACATTTAATTACACAATGTTAAGCTTTGACAACTGCTTGTTAAATGGAATTGATAACATTAGGAATAGGGGGCACGCGTACGTGACAAAGCAAGTTTAGCTGGAATACATTTTATTATAACTGTATCTAAATAAACCGTCGTCCTTCAAACACCACGCATCAGTCAAGGCACACACATCTCACAGAACTGAAGGACAGAAAACTGGTAAGGATGCGAAGCCGACCCTCCCCCCCCCCCCTT